GAAAAAAGAGACATAATACAACACCAATTGGGAAAGAGAGGGAGGGTAATGGAGGGACAACAGCACACAACAAATAGATAGCAAACAGGCAAGACACAACAGTGGAGTTGTCATAATAAAAAAAATTTACACGATTAAACGGAATAGGATTTGTTAAGAGGTTATTATCCTTATTTTTTGTAGAATGTATGTGTATGTATGTATGTGTTTGCTCCAACACTTCTGATTCAGCGGTTGATTCACCTGTTCAGCAGCTCATCAAGCTTTGCAGAAGGCTGTTAATCACCTGTTGATTGAAATCAGGTGTGTTGAAGCAGGGTTAAAACTAAAATATGGTGGATACCGGCCCTCAATGGACCAGAGTTCCCCACCCCGATATAGAGTATCACAGCTTATTGGTCATAAGTAAAGGTAATATATTCAGCTTAAAAGCAACAATATTTACCCCTACAACTTGTTTGGTTCTGTTTGGCAACCAGTGCCTTGATCTTGCTGTCACTAATTATTTTTTGACATTTGTGTTGAGGGGCGGGGTGAGATTGCAGGCATTTCCCTCATGAGATGAAGACGGTATGACTGCATATGGTTAAATGAGCATGTTTCTGGGTATGCATACCTGGGATTTATCAACAGTCAATTGCGGAGGAACGTCTGGACGATTTAGGACAAATGTTTTGATGAATTAGGGCCCAGGTCTGGAATCATACATCTGTTCACTCATCCAATGGGAATACCAATTATTGAAACTTCCTCTTTGGAAGCACTAAACTGTAATTTTTCAACAGTCGGGAAGAGGGCCCCTTCAGGGAATGTGAGACGGCCAGCAGTGCTGTCAAGTTATGTTTCAGCTCTGACTTCAACGTTTGACAGCCCTTTGGGGCCCCCTTGTTGCCTGGGGGACCCCAGCAATTGCATATCCTACCTGTTCGCAAGCATCACCTCTGATCATCTACAACCAATCTGTGCCCTGCTCCTTTGACCTTTGACCTCAACAAGATGTTTTTATCCAGATGCCTGCAGCTCACTGAATATTTGTTGTTTTTCAGACCGCTTTCTGTAAGCCAGAGATGGTTGTTGGTGAAAATCCCAGTAGATCTGGAATATTCAGATCAGACTGTCTGGCACCAACAACCATGCTGCCTTTACAGTACTTCAGATCTTTTATCTCCGTTCTGGTTGCTGGCTTGTGATTGGCTGATTTGTGGTAAAGAATGGAGCAGGAGTATATAATCAGATGGCAGGTGAGTGTAAGTCGAAACTATTTCAGAGGATTGTGATCATTAAATATTAGCAATTCTCACACTCTACCTTTTAAATACATCTTAGATCAGTGGGTTCACTTGTTGCTTGAGAGTTTGCAGGTTTTACCTTTAAGCAACCTACAACTTAGATAAAATGATATGACTTTATTGATTTGTGCTAAACAGAAACAAGCTAAGAGAGAAGAGTCCTAGTAAAGCAAAATGACACACCAACCAGCTCAGACATCAGTAATGAGGGAAAGAAAATGTGAACCATAAAAAGCCAGAAACTATTTTAACCTGTACACCTAATCCACTATTTTAAACAAATTGAAGATAATTGTATGGATGAACATCTTCACAAGGACTTTCTCGCCCTTTTCATTTGAGGGGTGGGGCCATTTTAGGCCTGTGTGTGTGTGTGTGTGTGTGTGTGTGTGTGTGTGTGTGTGTGTGTGTGTGTGTGTGTGTGTGTGTGTGTGTGTGTGTGTGTGTGTGTGTGTGTGTGTGTGTGTGTGTTGGGTGAGTGCAGGGGTGATGGGTGGGGGGTCAGGGTGGAGCCGCCATGTCTAAGCCAGCGCACACACAAGAGAGGGGTTGTTGGGCTGAGAGTCACTCACAGCCCTGATAGTTGCAGCCCTAAATCACTCAGACTCTTTCTGCATATTGTGGTGGACCACAGCTATGACAAGTCTCACAAAAATGATCATCTGCAGCGGCAAACGACGAGGAGACGAAACCTCAGTTTATACAGCAACACACAGGCAACGATTTTCTGTGTCCGAACAAATGGACGCTCTGTTCAATAACCTCATATTTTAACAAGTCTAAGGGTCAATAAAGCAAACATGAGTAAAACAGAAGAAAAAAAAATCTGTAGAGGAAGACTTGGCTTCGGGCACATGTAACGTGTGTTTTATTTAACAACACTTTAGATTTTACTGCTATTCCATGTTTTCTTTTAGACATTCAGACTGAGGCAAGCATGAGGTTGGAGCTGGTTAGCTTAGCAGAGCAAACAGGGGCTAAAAGTAACCTGGGGCTGTTTAGTTGAGACCACCTATTCTGTTTTTAGTCCCTCTATTCAAACATGTATATTTACGTCAGCAAAAGATAAGAGGAAAAGAAACACTGCATGTTTAGAGTGTAAACAATCTGTTAGGTAAAAATAGAAATCACAAGATTAGAATATATCACACAGGAGAGTCTCTACAAACGGAATAAGTAAAATATGTTGTTTGTTTGTCTTTGTTTGTTTGTTTTACTAAATGCAGGAAATTTTGAGAAATTGCTGATTTGCCACATTCTATCTGACAGGCTGAAAAGAGAGCAGTTTTAAGGCCTGTTTCTACGGGGACAGTTTTAGACGTGACACAATCAATGTAAGCCTGATTATTTTATAGAGCACCACTGTAATCAGAGCTTAAAGGGAAACTATGCAAGTGTTGGCTTGATTTTAGCACCCCCTAGAGCCCATTATTAATTCACTGTTGTAAATGCAAAACATATCTCCTCACTGTGCATTAGTCTTTTTAACACCTTCACCTAACAGCTGAAATGTCTACCCAGCCTTCATTTGTTTCTACAGGAGCAGTTCATCACCAAATCAAATAAATCAGCTGTGCTCATGATCTAAAACATACAGGTATCATGTGATGGAAGCAGAGTGCAGCGACAGCATGCCAGCCCCACTTTGCTATTTCCAAGAGGAAATTGTGGAATTCTGGCCACAGATGGTGGTGGGGTCTGAGTGGCATTTCATTGAACCCATAAATGGGTACTTTTAGCAAATACTGGCTCAAGAATATAATTTAAAATTTATGGAAAAGTTGCATATGGCTTTAAAACCAGTTAGCTTGGTGGTTATTCCTCTCTCTGATCTGTTACCATGATTCCACTGTGAGTTGGTGACATTTTTGGTGCTCGCCAAATGTGGTGATGTATTAAAATCAGGTGGTTTACCTATTAGCAAAAGGCAGCTCATGCTACATCTATTAGCCTTGTGTTGCTTTGAACATCCCTGTGTTGTTTACACATTATGTTTTTGAAGATCTGATAATAAATGTGAATAATTCTGATGCTGTGAATCATTTCTCTTGAGTTCAACAAGGTTAAAATCTGTTCAAATATGTTATTTAATCAAAATTTCCTAACATATTAAGACTGGGTTTTTACATAGGAAAATAGTGCACTATAAAGAAAGTCCAGAGTGGATATTTTTGCCATATTGCCAACTTCAAAATGCATTTCATTCAGTAAAAATTAACCTGAAACAGATTGACAGTTTTAACGTGTGAAAAGGTCTATCTGAATGTTGGTAAAGTTGTTTGCTGTGTTTTACTTGACCATCACCCCAGCCCAAAAATGTCAGTACAGTTGACTAAATGTGACTTTTTAAAAAGACAATTAAATTTTCAATTGGGTGCCAAAACCATCTGTTTAAGGTCAAACATCAAGAAAAACAAGTTTATTGCTAATTTGCTTAACATTTTTAAAAGTAATGGAGTTTTTTTTCTGAAGTCTAAATGGAAGTACGTTGAAGTTTATAAAGTATTATCACTGTAAGACGAGAGCAATCAGATTTATTTAGATAATCTATCTATAAAACCAAGCCTGCTGTTTACTGTAACAGTATTCTTGGTACACTTTGGTCTCAGAGCTAGGCTCAGCTTAACTCTTAATGTCCACCTCAACATAAAAACAATCTTAAAATACTTTTTTGTATTTTTCTTTAATTTTGGGTAGTAAGAGTTGTGATACAATACAAGTATTAATAATGTTTAAACAGCCATAATGCTTTTAGAATCATTTTAGTTTATTAGCTTTTGTTGATGTAGTTTAGTTCAAGCCTTGGTATAGGGCTAAAAAAAGCTCCACAACAATGCTCAGAAAGCTCTAGAAATGCTCACCAATAACATCTACATCAGAAGTGATGATCAGGATCATTTTCTATATAAACGTTATGCCATTTTAACGGTTTAGGTTTTATTTAAAAATCAGACTGGTTAATCCAAAATGTGTCTTTGAAAACCTGAAAGTCCACAATACAACAGGATTCTGTGAGCTCCACTATTCAACATACAATCAGCAACAAGCAAAAGATAAACTTCCATTAATGAATCAGAGGTGTTAGCTTCATGCTACATAATCATAGAATGATATCGTATCATATAATATCAGTCAGGGAGCAAGCCCCTTAAAGAGGCTGCACAGACCCCTGTCCCCACTCGCACAGACCCCCAGTCCCCACTCATCTTGGTTCGCCCCTGCAGCAGGAAGACCGATCCAGATAAATGGCTCCTGTGAATCAGGTTAGGCTAAAATATGCTTCCAGCAAAAACACTACATGAGGGGAGAACTTTCCAACTGGTGACTGAATGCTGGAAATTATCTTATAATCTCAAACAACCAGAACCCAAAATGCTGCTCTGAATAAAGTCCGTATTTCTGAGAGTGTGTGTCTCATTCACAAAAGCAAAACGAATTTGTTTTAACTTGTGATAAATTCATGAAAAAAAAAACATTTCTGTCTATTTTTTAAAACAATTCCAACAAATAATTATCTGAAATGCTGTGTCACAAGCACTTAAAGCTTAACACCCAGCAGAAATGTTCCTGTTTTGAATAAAGCGCATCATGCGTCAGGTTCTGGCTTCAGAAACAGACGCAAACACGCTCACGTCACCTCTTAAAGCTGAATTAATGCTCTACAGACTCGTGTATTTTCATAAAACAGAATAATAAAAGAAGACACCTCACCTGACTTCTGAGATCTGGCTGGAAGTCAAACTCTCCTGCGGCCAAGAGGACAAATGAGGCGCACAACGTTGCGCACATGAAGGTAGGCGCAGGTTTCCGGTCCAATAAGTGGCTCCTCTGTGTGGCAGCGAGGCGCGTGCCCTGTCCGTGCGTGAACTCGTGCAGGTGAAATGAAACGGGCGGTCATGAAAGCACCGCGGCGTCCGTGTGCGTGTCGTTCATCACTTTACTGAGAGCAGGCACGCAGTGTGAGGCAGCATCTGGCTCGTTTTGTGACACATCCACTATAGTTTCAGGCAGTCTGAGGATCACCCGCAAATGTTGCTCAATAAGCGGTTTTCTAAACTTTAATCGTTCCACCCTCCCACACCCGCCCTAGTCTATCTTCTCTGGGGAACTAAATAGTAAATAAGTCTGCTATAAAGATGCTCTCTATTCTGAGGAGCGCATTTCCGATCTAAACAGGTGTTTGAAGCTCCAGAGGGCTGAAAAGACATTTTGGTTCAAGTGAGAAAACTTTATAATGATCTGAAGCTTCAGTTTAGTGAAAACTTCTGACATTTTCCACAAATCGCCTATTTGCAAAAAGGAAATACAAAGAAGAATTTACAGACCATGTGGAAATCCAACACAGAATGGATTTAGTTTTGTTATTTGTGTTTATGAGCAGAAAGGTGTCTGGAAATATTGGAACTGCAGTCTGACTCACTCTGTGAGCAGATCCTGGATCAGTCCTCAGCTGAGCGGAGCAGTGGGGCCCGTCCTGCTCTAATGAGGAACAGTTCCTGGGAGTCGCCTTTATAAGGGAACATTTCACAACACAGTCATCAAGGAACATATCCATCCATCATCAATCCATCCATCTATGCATCTATCCATTAACAAATCCATCCATCCATCTATTAATTGACCCGTCCATCCATCCATTCATTATTTAATCTATCCACCCATCCAACCATCCATCCAACCATCCATCCATCCATCCATCTATTAATTGACCCATCCATCCATTCATTATTTCATCTATCCATCAATCCACTCATCCATCCATCCATCCATCCATCCACCCATCCATCCATCCACTCGTCCAACCATCCATCCATCCATCCACCCATCCATCCATCCATCAATCCACTCATCCAACTATCCATCTATCCATCCATCCATCAATCCACTCATCCAACTATCCATCCATCGTGACTTGTCCTATTGGGACGAATTTGTGAAAGTACAAACTGAAGGACCAATAAGTTAAAACCTATACCATTTGTACTAATGCAACATAAAATCCTCTTTCAGTGTCATCAATACTATACAAATAAATACAAATTTCGAAATAATAGCTTGTGGAAGTTTAGGGGTTTTTCCACTCTGTGTGACAGAATGTGTCACAGAGAGGTGAGTTACACACAAACCAAAACTCAAGTTTTATTCGAGTAAGTTTACAAAACAGAAAATCAAGCATGCTCACACCACATCCTCCTCTCAGATTTATTTAGGATTTTAAAATTCACAGTTTTGTCTTGAGTGAGAAAAAAGGAAGAGCAGAAAAAGGCGTGTGCAGCCAAAACACAAGTAAGAGACTGTGTTACTTTAGCTGTGAGGCAACTTTTCTAACCACTGCAGCACAATCCCACACCAACCAACTTCAGTAATCTAAATTAAAATCACAGTGTTAATATGTTATCTATGGACCACAAGTGTGGAACAAAACAAGGAGAGCCTCATCTGACACAGAGACAGCAGTCCCCTGTGGAGGACAAATTTCTGGGGGCATTGGATTAGTTCATCCATTCATTTCTTTGTGTCTGATTTGATTCATATGTTTTTTGGTACCGAATATTTTAAGGTGCTTCTTCAATCCAGAGTGTTGTGAAACCATTCTGACATAAACAGCCCTAACCCTACTAATAAATCAGGAAAATTAAAGCACACAAAAATGACTATACACTTTCCATGAAAAGATTTAAACTTGAGGTAAAAGCAAAACCGTCAAATCTTAACACTGAAAGGCTTTGCGTCAATATTTGTTCTGTGAAAACAAAACTAAATGATTGGATATAATAATTCAGAATGTGATTCAATACAAAGTTCAGAAACAACTGATGTAGCATTCATTAAAAAAGGTACAAAATATCCACATTTGTCACAGAAGCTTAGCCAAACACAATATAAGAATGGACTCAACTTCAACAGTTTAATGTTATTGTGATATATGCTGTCATACAATGAGGGCTAACTAGTTTAAGCTACAATACAAATGGGTTGAGGAGTCATATTTAAGCCAGCCAAGAGACATAGTCCCTCCAGCGTGTCCTGGGTCTTCCTTTAGGTCTCCTCCCAGTTGGACGTGCCCAGAAAACCTCACCAGGGATGCGTCCAGGAGGCATCCTAACAAGATGCACGAGCCACCTCAACTGGCTCCTCTCGATGTGGAGGAGCAGCAGATCTACTCTGACTGGGCCTTTCCACCGGAAGCGTAAGTGTCATGCGATGCCTGTGAAACATACTACAGCAATTAGCTCCTGTTATGATGGCTGGGTATGTTGCTACTGGCTGTGAAGCATCACCTTTTGGTAGTGTCCCAAAAGAGACATTTTCTCACATTTTAACTCTATTTTTTGTGCTCTACGCTTCCAGAACACATCAAACTCTTCAGTTCAAATCGGGCCAGACAGGAAGTCAAACACAAAAGCAGTGTAAACTTCTGGAATCTTTCAAAATAAAAGTCACATGCAAATATCCATTTGCTTAACTAGTTAGAAACAGTATGTAGTTTCCTGTGAATTCTCTGTATCCAAGGTAAACAGAACAGAAAATAAAGCACAGACCTTTTTGGATTCATGCTGTCATCTTTCTCCTTGCTTGTTAAACTCCTGAAATTACACATGGAGATGCATTTCTCCTGTAATTTCATGACCTGATGCTATACCTGCTGCGTGGAACACTTCCGCTCCCGTTTTGCAACTGAAATGCTTCTGTTGAAAGGGAGCTTGTGAGTAAAACACATCTATTATGTTACGAGCTTACGTATCCAATGTAAAGGCTGGGTGAGTCCCTCTCTGATGACCGAGCTTCTCACCCTATTAAGGGAGAGCCCAGACACCCTGTGGAGAAAACTCATTTTGGCCACTTGTAAATGGTACATGGCTTGTATTTGTATAGCACCTTCTTAGGGTTCTACAACCCACCAAGACACTTCAAAACACAATCAGTCATTCATACATTCACACACACATCCACACATTTCACATGTTTTAACAAAAAAGCCCATGACCACCTTCAGTTGGTCTAGAACTCTGCAGCGAGGCTCCTAACTGGAGCAAACAGAAGAGCACACATCACTCCTATTCTAATGTGTCTCCACTGGTTTCCCCTTAGCTTTAGAGTTCATTTTAGAAACCTGACTATAACTTTCAATGCTCTACATGTCTAGTGTTCCACGGCCAGGACGAAAACCACATTTGTGACTAGTTAAAAATTTTCATTAAATTTTAGGGAATTTTCATTAAACCTGTCATTTATAAACATACAGATGTACCAGTGACCAGTACCAAGGGCACGACTTTTCACTTGGTTGACATTTGTAGAGCTGGATGAAAAGTTTGTCTTCTAAAATTATGAACATTGTGAAAAAAGTCAGTCATTTCTTTCACTCATTTCAGAAACTGAAAACTCAAGCCCATTTATTTCTGTAATCATCACATTTATAACAAATAAAAATCTGGCTTTGCATCTAATGATTCTATCTCATTTACAGTATTAGTTTCATCTTTTAAGTTGAATTACTCACATAAATTAACTTTTGCAACAGATTCAAATTTTTTAAGTTCCACTTGCAAGAGAGAAATGCATTTTAATAGTTTATCTCTTGTAATCTTGATTATGGTTTGCAGATAAGAAAACCTAAAATTTTGTGTCTCAGAAAGTTGTAAAATTACTTAAGATCGATATAAAAAAATATTTGTTCAAAACCGTCAGGTTTACGAAAGGTTTTCCTTTGCACTTATTTGGTGGTCCCAAAATAAGATTTTGTGGCCTGATTTGATTTGAATAAGTTGTCAGTTGGGCAGAAGACAGCTCTGAGACTATTTTCCATGACCTCATTGAATGCTGAACCTCACATTTTGTCTTCCTCAGTTTACCCAGGTCTGGGTCACGGGGTCAGCAGCAGCTTTCTAAAAGCTCATGACCATAGGTGAGGGTTGGAATGTAGACCAACTGGTAAATGAAGAGCTTTGATTTCTGCTTACCTCCCTCTTCACAGACCAGTTCAGCTCCCCATGCTCTGATCCACCTGCTGATCTGATGTTCCATTCTTCCTTCAGTTATGGATAAAACTCTGAAGCAACTCTAGTTATAGTTGTGAATATGTTTCTTCAATTCACCAAATGTGCAAAACTAACGCTTGTATGTTCATTGCTTATGAGGTCCTACTAATCCAAAATAGCTAGGAAAAGACTGTCCTTCCATAATATGATGCAGGAGAATTCCTGCATTTTCCTCATTTCTGGGCTTCATTATTGTAAAACTATAGGATGTCTAAGGCGTCTAGCTGATCCACGTTGCTGCTGCTGCTATTCTGATGAGAGTTCAGAGGAGAGGCCACCTTTCTCCAGTTTTAGCATCACTTCAAGCTCATTGGAAGATCCAGATTTAACAGCACCAGGCTCCCAGACTGCAGGTTTACTTGTGGTTCCTAGTTTATAAAAGTAGGCTGCACTCTGGTGGAACCAGCTTTTAATTTCAGGTAGACTTCCTGTCTACTTTTAAAGCTCAGTTTCTGATACATCTTCTGATTAAGAATAGGTTGGTTTATCCTGGCTCATCCCTTTAGTTATGCTCATCCCTTTAGTTATGTTGCTTGAGGGCAGACTGATGGCATTTCCTCACTCTGATGGCGTTACTCCGCATGTTTGTATTTACTGATGGTGCTCCTGTTGTTTTTTACTGTTGAAACCCATCTTTGTCTCTTTCCTGTCCTCTCATATCCGAAGCAGCTGTCCATTCTGGGAAAGACGAGTTGTCCTTCACAGTGAAAATTCAGTCCAGTCAACTGGACCCTTTAGAGAAAACTTGATTAATTGGTGTTTCATAATTTAGTTACAACCAAGTGAAATGACTACTGACAGCTGGTTTAAACCTGGCCATGAAATGAAATGAACTTGATGTTTTTGTTTACTGCATTCAGATGAGTCGTGTTGTGTGAACTGGTGCTGTATAAATAAATTTAACTGAATTCATCTGTACAGTTGTTTTATATCAAGGGTTTTGACTGAACCCCCCACCCCCACCCCCCCACCCCCCGGAATTATCTGTAAAAGCCTACCGATCTGTCTGCACATCTGCAGGGAACTGAACACGTGTGCAACGTTGCAGACAGGATGTCTTTGTGTTGGTTCAGGGTGGGGTTCTGGGGAATTTGGGTAGAAGACATGAATGAACTCTAACAGTGAGACTTATGTTTATGTTTATGTATTTAGCAGACGCTTTTGTCCAAAGCGACTTACAAGTGATAATCGGCATATTGCCCTTGAGGCTAACAACAACAATAACAACAACATTGACATCAGTCATGGAGAATAGGGAACAAGGAGTGGACAGTAGAGGGGGGGGGGGGGGGGGGGGGGTGCAGGCAAGGTGCTAGTTAAGAATATGCTCTCTGAAGAGCAGGGTCTTCAAGGAGTTTCTTGAAAATTGAAAAGGAAGCCGCAGTTCTGGTAGTGCTTGGAAGGTCATTCCACATTTGTGGAACGATGCATGAGAAAAGTCTGGATTGTCCTGAGCGTGGTATAGGCACTGCCGATGATCCTGTGATGTGTGACCGGAGCGGCCG